AACAGTGATAATGTGGTGAGTTGTAAAAGGTGTTTGTTAGACGTAAGCAAATGAGGCCCGTTACCAGCATTAGCTAATTATATGGCTCTAGGCAAGGGATTCACCTCTTTTCCATTTTATTAATTTCTAGAATGTGGACAGTGTTACTTAGGTTTCAGGGATATTGTGAGGAGTTGAGAATGTACATAAAATGTGTAACACTTGTAAAGGGTGCCTGGGTGGCTCAGTCAGTTAAGTATCTGACTTTTTTTTTTAAGATTTTTATTTATTTGACAGAGAGAGCACAAGCAGGGGGAGCGGCAGGCAGAGGGAGAAGCAGGCTTCCCACTGAGCAGGGGGAGCCCGATGTGGGACTCGATCCCGGGAGCCCGATGTGGGACTCGATCCCAGGACCCCAGGATCATGACCTGAGCTGAAGGCAGTTGCCTAACCAACTGAGCCACCCAGGTGCCCTAGCATCTGACTCTTGATTTCGGCTCAGGTCATGATCTCAGGGTCATGGGATTGAGCCCTGAGTTGGGCTCTGCACTGGGTATGGAGCCTACTTAAGATTCTCTTTCTCTCTCCCTCTGCTACCCCCCCAAAATGTGTAACACAAAATTGGCACTAAATAAATGTTAGCCTTATTAATAGTTTTATGATAGAAACACTATAGAGCTACCCTATGAGCCAGAAATTGCAATACTAGGTATTTACCCAAAGGATAAAAACATAGTGATCCAAAGGGGCATCTGCACCCCAAAGTTTATAGTGGCAACATCCACAATAGCTGAACTATGGAAAGAGCTCAGATGTCCATTGAGAAATGAATGGATAAAGATAACGTGGTCTATATATACAATGGAATATTACTCAGCCATCAAAAAAATGAAATCTTACATTTGCAACGATGTAGGTGGAACTAGAGGGTATTATGCTGAGCAAAAGAAGTCAATCAGAGAAAGACAATTATATGATTTCACTCATGTGGAATTTAACAAACAAAACAGGATCATAGAGGAAGAGAGGGAAAAATAAGACAAAAACAGAGAGGGAGACAAATCCTAAGAGACTCTTAACTACAGGAAACAAACTGAGGGTTGCTGTATGGGAGGTCAGTGGGGGCAAGGAGTAATTGGGTGATGGGCATTAAGGAGGGCACTTGGACTAATGAGCACCGGGTGTTGTATGCAACTGATGAATCACTGAACTCTACCTCTGAAACTAATAATACACTAGATGCTAAGTAATTGAATAAAAAAAAAAAACATGAAAAAAAAACCCACAAAAAACACTATAGAATTCCGAATTCATAAATTATACTGCCAAAGCCATGTGAATAAAGTGGGTCCCCTGTGTATTTAATGTAGAGGAAAGGATTCATTCGTAAGCTCATAATCACGCAGTTGTAATGGGAACTTCTGTAGTGCATGAAGGTCTGAAAAAGCAGCTATGAAATGCATTGCCCTGCTCAGAAATACTCCTGAAAAACAACAGGCAAGCACGGCACATTTTACAAGGGCAATTTTCTCGGTTGTTTGACCTAAGGAATCTTGAACACTTCCTCCAAAAATGGCACACTAAAGCTCTTCTGAGAGTCCACACAAATGCAGATAGTTGGATTTAGGGAGATTTAAAATCTCCTTTTAGGTATTAGTTCTACTGTCATGTGGGGCTCCAAGAAGCTCGTTTGTTTTCTACAAAGGAAAGCAACATGGATTCTCTCAGCCATCTGGGATCTACTGGTTATTAAACATGCACGAAGAAATGGGATCGGCTGAATGAAGTGCAGTGGTGTCTGAGGTGCAGGGGAAGATCTACCAAGGCCAGCTCTAAATTATGTTCAGAAAAGTAATTTTCCACCTATTAAAGGACTGAATGTTTCTGTTCCCCCTCCAAATTCCTATGTTGAAGCCCTCATTCCCAATGAGATGAAATTTGGAGGTGGGGCCTTTGGGGGGTGACTAGGTCATGAGGGTAGTGTCCTCAGGGATGGGATCAGTCCCGTAGAAGAAGGGACATGAGAGAAATGATGGCTCTCTCCACCATGTGAGGACATAGCAAGGAGGCTCTTCAAAATCCAGGAAGGGGGCTCTCATGAGGCCTGGAACCTGCTGCACCTTGACCTTGGGACATCCAGCCTCCAGATTCTAAGAAATAAATATTTGTTATTTAAGCCTCCTGGTCTATACCAGTTTGTTACAGTGGCCCAAGCTGATGAAGACACCATCTTTGTTTGCCACTTCTCTGATAAAGCAGATGGTCCTGTTTGCCAATCTGAGTCAGCTTGGAATCAAAGGTTCAGATGAAGAAATCAACAGATAACTCTGCTCTGTAGTATGTAGGTCAAGTTCTCAAGAATCGAGGACCATTCCTTAGCAGCTGTACAGATAACAAGTGTATGGATACCATCCAAACTCGATGGGGATTTTCGTAACATCCCATGGGCTACCACTGCATTTGATGTAACAAGGCGAACTTGTCTACTTACCAAAGCATCTGATGTCCTTCACAGAATAATGCAGTAAGGGGATGGGTGCTAGACACAGGTGGTTTGGGTTCAAATTCTCGCTTTGCTGCTTTCCAGTGTGGAGACAATAGTTCAACCACTTAACCTCCCTAATCATCAATTTCTTCATTTCACATGCAAAATGGAGACTTAAATAGAGTTTGCTTTCTAGGGTGGAGAGCATTAAATGAGACAAATGTGTAGTGCTGAGCACAGCATCTGGAAAATATTGAGTGGGTAAAAATTCTAGCCGCTATCATTGTTATTTTTATTGTTGGTCACAGTATATGTTTCCTGGTTGTGCCTCAAGGAAATACTTAATGAGGGTAAGGTCAAAAGTTGGAAGTTTCCGGGGCGCCTGAGTGGCTCAGTCG